CCTAGTTGTTTTTAAGAGACCTTTTCTTACCTTTTCACTAGCTGCACCAGTGTCTCCAAGATCTGAAACTCTGTCTTCACTTTCACTTAAATGGTTTTGCAAGCTTGTGATTGAGATTTTAGGTTCCTCTATATCTCTTTGACTCTGCTTCATGTGATCTATTTCTTTCCTGTATTGCTCATTCAAGGAATCCATCATTTTTCTAACCTCTATTTTTTTTTTTTTATCAATGTCTTCTTTAGAACCAGTTATTAATTCTTTTGCTGCAGAGTTTTTTCAGATCGGGGTTTCCTCCATATATTTCTGCATTTGATTCTTTACTTCAGATGCTATTAATTCAGGGATTTCTTTTTTTATTTCTGATCTGAGTTCCTCTATACCTTTCTGCAGCTGTTTCTTTATTTTAGAAGCTGTTGATTCATTTATTTCAGCTGTGTGGTTCCCAATTTGTTCTGTGCTAGTGTCCTCTGCACTTGTTATGGCTGGGCTTGGGGTCTGAGACTGCATTTTGCTCCTTCTCATTGTCATTTTATGTAGTACTGTCTTCTGACCTTTGTTGTAGATCTTCGTTGTAGTCATAATCTTAGCACCTACTGTAGTTCAGGTGCAGATCTACAAAGTTTGAATTTATCCAGCTGTGCCTGGCTTGGATCTGGCTGCTGTGCTCAGCTCCTTCCTGCTGCCGCCCTTGGGAGCAAACCTGTTGTGCCCCTCTGGCAAGATGTTCTGATCCTGGACTAGCTGGGTGGTTCTGTCCCCTACTCTCTCTGCAGGGATTGCAGCTGCAGGGTTTCACCCCACGCCTGTATACCAGGCCTGAGCTAGGTCTGAAGGGGACAAGGGGGCATAGGGGAGAAGGCAAGCTCTCCTCCACACTCACCAGGCCTGGGCTTGGGCTGGATCTGGTGGTCCCAGAATGAGGCAGAAGTTCTCAGGCACTCGGCAGGCGTGGGGGGGGGCACTCTGGAATGGTGGGGGGGGGTCCCCAGGGTGTGGCTGAGGGTCTCACTCACATGGTGTGCCTGGGTTTGGACTGGATACTGGGGAAGGCAGTTCTGACAACCAAATTTGAAGCAGTTTATAAAGGTAGTGTCCCTAAGTTATCTCGGTGGGTATAGCATCCCATTTACAGATGAGGAAACTGAGGCACAGATTACACACCTGCTCAAGGCGCAGAGTCAGGATGTGGGCCCTGAGCCCTCATTCTGAACCACATGCTAACCCCCACCCCCAACCATTCTTGCTCAAGGTGGGGGTCAGAAGATAGCTTTATTTTAAGTTAATGCTGAATTCAAAGAAGATGCTGCATGCTGAGGTAGTGCTGTCTCTGAGACAGATGAGGGTGGTCTGTGTGATTATTCAGGTGAGGAGTTGCCAGTGATGGAGGAGAGGGAGCCATGGTCATCCCTGCCTGTGACCTGGAGGTGATCTCGGGGGTTGCAATGCAACTGTCTCTTGGGGAGGCCATGGCCAGTGGAAGGAGGGACAGTCCATCTGGTTGTCAAGAGTGGGAACCAGGAATGAGAAATGTTGAGTCATCAAAGGGAAGGGGCATCTCTGCAGTGGCCAAGGACCTCCTGGCATCCTAGGACAGGTCCCAGTTCACCCAATGCCGTGGCCTGACTACCAGAAACCCTCACTCCCTCCATCACTGGCATCCAGGCCAGTGACCTGGGGGCTTCGCAAGGGAAAGCATGGACATCCGACACAGTAGCACAGCCATGCTGACCCACGGAGACGCTCTGTGGCTTTGCCACATCCCCCAGCACGGGCCGCGTCGCTCCCTTGAAGGTGCCTGGACTTGTCTTTCTCATGCAGCCGTAGGGGCATGGTGCCTTCTAACAGTGACCATCCTGGGGACAGCCACCAACATCTCCCTGAATGTGCCACCCATAGGCACAGTTCCCGGGTCCAGACTTGCTCTGGCAGTCCTCGCTTCAAGCCTGGGGGCCCAGTGAAATATGTACTTTCGCTTCCTGATGAGGACATTAAGAGGACACCATGGTGTGGCCAGGCCAGGCCCCCACGTCAGGGCTCACTGGGGTCAGCAGCCAGTGTGTCCTCTTTCCAGAGCTCGCCCCATGCCTGGGATGTTCTGTAGATGCCCAGCCTGGCAGAGCTCTGCAAACAGCGTCTGCAGCTGCCGCAGTGCAGGGGCAGCCGGAGGGAGCCTGGGGCTCTCATGGGGCACCCCTCCCCCTCACTGCCTCATTATCATCTCAATAATTTTTAAAAACAGAAGAGGCCCGCTGCTTCTGAGAAGCAGCTGCTTTAGGAACACCAGCCTTTCCTTTCAGCAGTAATTTACACTTCCACTTGGCAAGAGCCCACTATTTCTCAAGCTCCCACTCAGACGTCTCCTCTCTGTCACCCGGTGTGACTTCCCAGGTAGAATTAATCACCCACCACTAGGTCCTCGCTGGGCACACGCATAAATTCAAATGCTGGCTACAGCCTGATAAGTACCGTATGGATCTACCGACTTCGCTGAACCCTGAATTCCTTGGTGTCAGGATCGAGTACACGGATAAAGCGGGCGGAGTGCTTGCTTTGCTCGCTCGGGGCTCAGCTTTTTGTGTGCTGCTGAAAACGTCGGTTTTCACGACTCACAACCTGATGAAGTGGGTACCACCCTTGTTTTCAAGGTGAGATAATGAAAAATCGGAAAATCTTAGCCACCTGCCCAAAGCAGCTTCACTCAGGGCTGGCGGAGCTGGCGCTCGGATGTGGGGGTCACGGGAGCCAGCCTTGGCCGCGTGCAGTGCGTGCCTCACGCCTCACGCTGTGGCCAGGAGAGGGGGTGGCCTGACACGTGGCGGGGGCCCAGGGAAAGCTTGCTGCCTCTTTGCTCCTTCAGTTGGGAAAAATCTTGGAAAAAGGAAAGGCAAAGAAAGGCGATACTTGTTTTCCATTTTGTCAGGTGACAGGCTCAGAGCTGAACCAGGTGTGGCTCACTAGGCTAGCAAGAACGGAAAACTCAGCACATTTTGTGTGTTGGTTATTCAGTTTTGTTTTCACGGTGGTGTGCAAGCAGTGCTCTGGATTTCTCATATTTATTTATTTATTTGTCTTATGATGCTAAAGTTTTGCAGTATAATTAATAAGTCTGCTTCTTCTTTTTTTTTTTTTTTTGAATTTGGAAAGCCGTTTATTACTGAGCTCAGGGCCTCCCAGTCTGCTCTCACGCAGGAGAGGACTGAAAGACGCCTGCTTCTTCTCTTGACTAAAGAGCCATTATGATCTGCTCAGTGCTGAGACTGGAATGTGGATGCCGTGCCTGACAGTGCCACCCTGGCCACATCTGCCTGCGCATGTCACAGTTCACTACCTTAAAAAAAAGACCAGGTACCCATAGCTCTGTTATAGGTATGGCCCAGGACCATTGAAGTTTGATTTTCTTTATTGTTTTTTATTTGGCACCTCTTCCTGTGGACACCTAGCAGAGGTCTCCTTGACCAAAGTACCCTGGAAGCCTAATGCCCCTCAGAACCACACCTCCAGGTCCAGGGCAGCGGGCTCTGCAGGTCTGATGGCCCCCAGCCCCACGGCCCCCAGCCCTGCACTGGCTTGTGCTGCATGCTAGTCCAAGCTAAGAGCTGGGGGCTCTGAGTACCAGGCGCATCCTTCCCGATCTGCAGGAGACGGGGCTCAAGGCCACAGCCAGCCTGCTCTTCTGCTGCCCGGTTTTGGATTTGTCAAATCAGCCCTTTTGACCAACTGGCTGGGTACACTATGTAAATTTCTGACATTTTCAAAGCTGTCTTTTTAATAAGCCTTTCAGTATAAAAATACCAGTGTGCAAGATGTTTTCTGTGCTTTTAGGCCTGAAAATGTATCTGCCTTATTAAATTGGAATTTCTGGGCAATTTATCTATAATGTGAACTTTGC